ATCATGCAATAGATTCAAAACAGTAAAGAGTTGTTACAATAGTCAATAAAAGATTTTTGAGGGATTATTAGTCCTTCAACAAATGATGAAACTAAAATTAAAGTTACTTCACTATCTAATAGAAAGCTATTACATTTCATATTTGTAAGGCTCAACAGAATAGGAAAGAACTTCCTATCCCTCAGTGTCCAAATACATTTGCAGTAAACTAGCGCCCAGTCATTTGCATGTCCAGACATCACTATCACTTCTGCATTGTGCCAAAATTTTAATTAGTAAGAGTACTCCTTCCTTACAGTTCTTCTACTGTATTGCCCACAAAAGTCACACAATATTCTTTTAAGTATCAAATGTTCTCAGAAGATTAATATGAAAAATGCTAAGTATTTCCAATTCATATTCACTAAGCGTGAAAAAGGCTGTCAAGACTGTACCACATAGACATGCACAGCAAGAGAAACAATTTTCCCTTTGCAGTAAGGGCTTCCATTGCAAAAGACCTTCGAGTAGATCAGTAGTTCATGCAGTGCAGTCCATAAGCAATATGAGGTCTATATGGAGCTGCTAGTCCAGTGAACCATATCGTTCTATTGTTTTCAATTTAAAGTGATGAAAAGGCTATATATAGGGTTTTTTTTTTTTTTTAAAGTACTACACAGTCAAAAAACTTCTTGAAACCACTGACTGGCTTGTCCGTAACAACCTCACTGTGATCAGACTTCAGCACACACACACGCTCCACCTGCCTCCTCTTTAACTGGAAGGGTGTATCATCATACTGCTAACTTCCACTTTTCCTTCTTGAAAGCTGTGGATTTCTTAGCCTTTTTGAATCTTTTCTCTCATTAGATGTTTCTCTAGTGATTTATTGGTCACACTCCTCTTCCTCACTTGCTGGGGAATCTGTCAGGATCCTTACTCTTTGCCTGAAAAACTACCTTGCCTCTGGCTTGCCACACTTCATCCAAACTGGATTTTTTTTTCCCCCCATTATCAAGCAATCAACCAAACCTTAGTTTTTGCCAAAACTGAGCTTCAAACTTAATTCCCAGGAGCCCTTATACTTCTTCTCTTACCTTCTGTTTCAGCTGCTAATTGTGCAATATAATTAGAAACAAATAAAAAAGACAAATGTCATTAAAAAAAAAAAAAGGCAAGGAAACTCAGCTCCTTTTCAACACTTTAATCAGCAAAGAGAAGTCTGCATCCAGAGCATTCAGACCACTAGCCCCAGGCAAGTAAGACCTCTGCATGGTATGTCATCATTATTTTGTGCTTTAAAAATCATCACTAGGGCATACACCCTTAAAATAGCATAGAATATTATTACCTGGAGATTACTTTCTGCCTCAGTCCAAAAATGTGTTAGGACCGTTTGTGCACAAAGCAAAAAAGTAAATCAATCAGGTTGGTAGCAGCCTTCTTTACATATGAAATAACCACCAGAAGAACAACTCTCAAATAACACTGGATGTCAATAAAAAGTTTCAATTTATTTAGCATTATGAATTCCAACATTTTCTGTAAACAAAGATTTAGCTATTTGACATCCCAAACATTACTACATTTCAAGAGTAATAATTTACAGTTGATAGCAAGTTTACAGCAACCAAAGCAATCCTACTTATTTTTTGCTACAGATGGTGTATTTTCCAGATTAACTGCAAGTAACGTTTGAATGGAGAACTTCACAATACTTTATGACAAAAACGTAAAAGAATTGTTGGAGAAATCTGTTACTCTACCTCATGAGTTAGTGCCAACCACCCGATTCCGAAGGCAACCAACCACACAAGAACTGGCCTTCACGAAATGCAACTACCCATACTGAAATTCTTCATGAAAATCTACATTAGCATTCTAGCTCTTGCATCACGGGATCCAGCGGCCACAGACTAGGACGCTTTTTTGGCCCCGTAGGGGTGTGCCTACACAGGGCAATGGAACGACAGCTCACACTGTCTTTCTGGAGCTCTGCCTGCAGGGATAACCAAGTTAACTCTGGACAAGAAAGAGCTAACACAGGGTTTGTAGACTGGGAGAGACACTGTACTGATGCAGACATACTACCTCCACGGTTTCTGAGCCTGTATGTTTAAAGGGTGCTGCACATGGAAAGTTGTCCTAATTTGCCCAGAAAAAGAGACTTGCTGACAGTCACGCAGGCAGAACAAGGAACCCAACCCAGGCCTCTTGAGTGGGAGGCTAGCATCATAACATTGATTATGGAACATGAAAAACAAACAAAAAACCTGCACAGAGCGTACCAGAGCAATATTCATCTAGCTTAGCAGCCTGTCCTCGATAGTTACCAACAAGGAATAAATGCAGAAGATTAGAACTACAGGATGAGTACTTTCTTCCCCACCACGGGCTGCAGAGGCATTGAAATATGGTATTCTGGAAGATTATCAGGAAACCAGAAACAGAAAGATTAGGGAAAAAAAAAGTATGCGGGAAGGAAGATTTTGAAAGTGACTGTTTTAGTGAAGCCTTTCCTCACAAATCACTGTTAAAAGTCTTTTCTTAAGGCAATTTGCCCTCTCCCTTGATTTTGCTGTTCAGCTACTGTTTGAGATCAGTTTTTGAAGTAATCAACCCAATTAAAGGTATAAAGATGAAAGCTGACTTTTTTTTCTTTAAAAGGTTTATTGACTAAGTTCTTTACCCTACTTTAAGTTATGATAAAAGATGCATTCATAAAATAACACACTACAAAATAAATTACAGTTTGGCTGCAACATCCACACAAGGGAAATCACCATTTAGATTTGTCACTGCCTCTTTTTCACAAATCAGTCCCAAGCTCAGTTTAAATGCATGTCAAATATGATCTAAATTTGTCTTATCTTCCACAAGTAATCATAGTCAAGAATAGGGAAATAACCGTAGATTCAATCCTCACAGTCATAAGGAACTGATAAAGTTACCATTTGATAATCGTATGTAATTACATCCATATATGAGAAATATTTAAACAAGGGGAATATATGTTGAAATAAGGATATGAAATCAACACAAATACTCTCCCTATATTTTGCCCACCTTCTATAAAAATTTCATATGTGATTATCAGTGCCTCATTTAGTTTTACTTTACATTTCTGCAATCCTCAACAACTTCCCAAAGTAATTTGTGTCAATGGGTCTTAACCTTTTTCTTCCACAGCTGACAGGAAAAGATGTTTCTGGCGACAGTAACTAATTGTCCAAGCTGCTACCTGAATTGCTGGACACAAACCAGATATCAAAGCAAAACAGCAGTCTTGCTCAATAGAGCAGCATACAACAGCCCATTCGCGATTTTTACGGCAAATACCTTCCTCTACTGCTAACATAGTAAAACGCTCCTCAGGGGAGAGCTGAGCTCACCTGTAACTTACTTTAAAATTTAAAGATTTAAACCCCAAGTAATGAATTCAAATAATCTAGATCTCTCATGAAGTGATCATTTATCATTCACAGGGGAGGGGAGAATTTAAAGTTATTCTGATAAACACTTTGAGGTAACCGACTGCAAAAGTCCGTTTTGAAAGAAACATCACCACATCAGGGATGGAAACACAACAGGCTCGCAACAGCAACTCTTCTACTTACCATAACCAGCCTGCAGGTTTCTGCCCTTCGCTTCTCAATAATAAAGTTCAAAGTCCAAATTCAGTTTATTAGTTTATTTAGCCCTCAATAAAGGAAAGGTTTTCCTATTCTTGATACAAGCTGCAAAAATATCTCCAATTTACTTACAATAATCAAGGCAAGGGTTAAAAAGTGTGTAACATTTTATCATCTGCTTTGTTTAATGATACAATTTCAGAAGCAGAAAACTAAGAAAATTAACTTGCACATTAGCACTTCCCAAAGTGTGTGGTTTTTACACTAAAAAAAAAGATAAAAAGTCCATTCTTTCAACAATTAGCACCACCATTCACAGGTTTCATGTTTGCATTATCTTCTATAATATGGCAACAGTCATTCCACGTAGGTTTAAAGTACTAAGAGATGTCTTCAATTTTCTTCAATGTATTTTCTTGCTTTCCTAATAAATATATTCATAAGAAGTCTGGAGACAAACAAATAAAAGACCGTAATATATGCTGCTTACAAATCCTTAAAGTACAAAGATACTATTTTATACAACATTCCATAAACTTTTGCTTTCAAATTCCTTGGGGAAAACAGCTTGAAAAATGTTTCATAAGCTTTAGTGACAGTAGTTGGTAAGCATTTAAGTTTTAAATTATTTGTGAGCTCACGAAGAATTTCTTCACATTCACAAGACAGCTTTTCTTCCTCTCAGTATCACTCTCAATTTTCTGTCCCCTTCAAGTCAGCTCACAAGATGCCCCGTGTGGTTCCTTGCCTACCTCTTCATTTATTGTGGCCAGAGAAAATCAGGACCACAAAGGTTTTAATAGCAAATTTCCAAAGACATACTAGCACCTACATGCTTCTTAAAGCATTTAGTTACACACCATTCCACCATATAAGAACACAAAAACAGCTTTCAATATTTAATACCTGCAAGCACACCAACACAGTCTGAAGCTCTGCTACCAGCCAGGGACAATATATTGGTCCAGAATTGGTATTTCTAGGAAGTAAATCACCTAGCAATTACAGCAGTGAAGAAAAAAAAAAACAACAAAACAACAAAAAAAACAACAAAACCAAGGGATGATTCTAAGTGTGAAGACTGTCTCACCTTCTGGCTGCAATTCACGTTAAATTCTTAGCACTTATCTGAAAAAAAATCTTGGATTAATTCACGATCAGGAAGACAGTATATCTGAAAGAATATTGGAGTGAGAACAAGACCTGTCAAAATCAGAAAGACCTTAAATGAAAACATATTCAGAGGAGCTGCCTGCACACACTAACCTTACAAAGCAGGAGATTTGTGCAAGCAAAGCAAGACAGAGCTCTCATTTCTAGGTCCACATTTTGAACCTGACCTAAAGCTATGTTGCCAACAGTTCACATTCACCCAGTTATTAAACATACCTTATGGTCTCAACCGGACTTTTTACAATGCTCTTTAGCGGCCTTAGCTGATACTAGAGTAAGAAGGTGCAGACAGTGAGCCTGCTTCATCCACCAACGTAACTCCTCAAAGCCAGGATTCGGTGCACGGACTAGGGAGCGCACGGACTTGTGTACGTCCGCTGTGAATCCCACAGCTGTCCTGTGAAGTCCTGAAGCTTCACACTGCAGGCTGGTATCTGTCAATAACGCCATGCTCGCGTCAGTAAAAGAAATACCTCTTGAAGTTTCATTCATAACATTCTGCTACTAAAGCTTAATCATCTTCTCTGACAAGCCCTGGCAAAAGAAGCAAAACACTGAAGTGAACTCCTGAAGTCTAAGTAGTAGAACGCAAATGAGAAGGTGAATATTCAGTTAATATTGGAAGGCAAATTCAAAACAAAAAAACCCAACAGAACGTCAATTCTTCCAGAGAGTCAAAAGGAACAAGGAAGGCCACAAAACATCCCCCTTCCTCCCCCACCTGGGAGCATACGTTCTGTTAGGTCATAAACCTTGTCTAATAAACAAACACACACATAAATAAATCCACAGGCAGCAATATGATCCCCACTGATTCACAAACAAAAACCAAGTCTGTTTCTGTTACTGTAACGTAGCACCTAATATCCTTTTTTCCTCTGATGTCATTTTTTATAACATTACTTTGGAATTCAACTATTTTAAAACTTGGTTGCTATGACACATTATAGCCATTATATGGATTCATTTCTTTCTTTCCTACTGGCAAGACTATTTGTTTCTGTTTTATGAAGTTCATATTATGGACAAAAGATACATAAAATATACTGTAAATTCCAATACTAGAAACTCCTTTAATACGTTCCATTCCTTGAATATATGCATACTGGAACAAGGGCTTCCCCCACCATTACCTTAAATGCCTCTATACTTGCAGCCTCCTGGATTCCTCTGAGCCTTATTTCTGAAAATGTTTGGGGTTTTTTTCACATTGTTCTCCTGCTGTCAGGTGATATATGAATATATACGAACATGATTTCCTGCAGATCCCGTCACCGACTTCCCATCTAAGCTTACAAAGAACCAGAAAGCATCAAAATCTTTCCGCAGACGATAAAACATGGAGTACATATCCTCCCCAGCACTTCTGTCTCCAGTAGCTGGGGACCGAGAACAAATTATGAATTGAGCTCTCATCCCTATAGGTTTCAGCTTCACCTTTATAATACGACACAGGTTTGGGGAAAGATGTGTTTTTCTGTAAGTTGATTTTTCATTATGGAAATATGTCATACCACATAGAAGTAGACTTCTAAATTTGAATTTAAAAGAATGATTCAGATATGAACTTCATGATATAGCATTAAAATTACTGAAATTGCTTTTAAAATAAACACAGAGCGCACCTTCGTATACGCAAACCACACTAAACCAAAAGCAGTTCAGAATCAGAGGCAGGAAAGTTACTGGGTTCAAAATTTCTTCCTGAATACCAAACAAGCATCCAACCTGCACTGGTATATCCTGGGAACTGCTATTTTGTAACCTATGGCTAAAATATGAAAACATGGTAGTTGTGTCAAATTCAGTCTCAAAGCTCAACACTAACTTATCATGCTCACCTGCAATTTGGAAAACAAACCAACCAACCCCTGGCAACCACAAACACACACTTTATCACCATCACATTTAAAACATATAGAAGAGATGACTGTCCACTTGTCATCACAAAGGTTTTCCCTTATGTGCTTGACCTAACAACTATTAGGTTCCATTTAAGAGAAAGTTCAAGTTGTTAAAAGCTAAGTTTGATTAAGAGCAGTCTTAGCAAATCAACTAGCTGCTGGCTCATCAGTCAGATACTAGACAGAAAGCTTTTTGCCATGGACCATTACCCTCAAATTGCCTTAATCAGGAAGATGCATTTGCAGGATGGGTCTACACAAGCGCACCCTGTTACAGACCCAGACCTATGTTATCTGGTGATTTAAATATGGCCTTTTTTTTTTTTTTAATAAAAAGGTGCAATATGTAAGAGATTAAAGGGACCAGTGATAGTATATAGATGTATTAATCCTTTGATAACAATTATTTTGCACTGTGTCCCGCACCAATAGTTAATGGAAAAGATAGCTGTCACCCCATCAAGTTTGTGGTATGAGTGTCAGGACCTAGACGAGCATAATGAAAGTTGTTAGAGGGAATTATCTTCAAAATTTATGTTCAAAAATTTATGTTCAAAATTTATGAGACGAATGGATTTTGAGTAAGTTTAGTGACAGCTATCAAACCAGTCAAACTATGTTTATAAAAAAAGATTAATTAGCAAATAAGGAAAATAATTTCTACTTGATTTTAAAGACACCTCCTTTAAAGGAAGTATTTTTTGACAGGAATTAGGCAGGGAAGCTGCAGCGGTTGTTTGTTTGTTTTTTTTAATTATGAAAATAAAGCTGAATCTGTAGGCATGACCTCTTTCTCTGGATACAAAGGCAAAACGGAGAGCAGAACTAGATTGTTTCTTGATAGAATGAAAGTAGGTAGTAAGCACAGGATTATCTCTGAGCCTTCTCCCCCCCCCCCCCCCCCCCCCTCCAAAGACAGAGGGGAGCCACGGAGAAGAATCAACTACCGCTATTCTGAAGAAAGGAAATACAGGAGCAGGAAAACAAAAAAAAAAGAACAATGGCCACTTGTAATTTAAGTGGAAAAGAAGTGAGAAAGATGAATATGAAGGCTTGAGCCCCTGATGCTTGATTTAAGAAAAAGACAACAGTAGCTCACCTGAAGAGCTTCCAGCAGCCTGAACAGGTTCCAGAGTTTCTCAGCCAAGTCAGGTATCGAGGCAAATTTCTAAGCCCTATCTATCTATAGAAGTAAGAACAATGGCCACTTGTAATTTAAGTGGAAAAGAAGTGAGAAAGATGAATATGAAGGCTTGAGCCCCTGATGCTTGATTTAAGAAAAAGACAACAGTAGCTCACCTGAAGAGCTTCCAGCAGCCTGAACAGGTTCCAGAGTTTCTCAGCCAAGTCAGGTATCGAGGCAAATTTCTAAGCCCTATCTATCTATAGAAGTAAAATCTAGCTAGTTCATCACATGTATCTGATAAAAGTTTCACACAGCAGGAGGGGAGGGGGGAAAAAAAATTAAGCTAAAGTAATGGTCAGCGCCAGAAGAATTGGCAGGGACAATTCAAGGACAGCAAAGCCTCTGCTACAACTTTTAAACTTAATTTCTGAAATTGACCCGATTTTTAAATTCATGGTATTCCTTTAAAGTCTGTCAGGTTTGTCTCTAGCAGTAGTTCCTTTAGGGCAAGCACTGTAGACAGTCTGCCTACCCTGAGGGAAACTAAGACACTCAGAAGTGGGAGTAAAGAAAAGGTATCAATAATTTAAGACAATGGTCTGCCACCTCTAGGAGAAAGCAGTAGTTTAAGTATAGAGACATCTAACTCCCTAGCTTATATTTGTCCTTTGTGAACTTTGTAAAACTATTCATGAAAATACAAATTACTGTGGAGGATACAGCACTATATATAGCTCTCAAGAGAGTTCTGAAAATGATCCCCAGTATTTGTCAACAGGGCCTCCGGTCGCTGTTAAGTGCCTCCGAAACAAGGAGAAAAGTCAATTTGATGCAGGCGGCCTGAACGAAAAAAGGGGGGAGGGAATATCTCAGATAGGAGAGAACACTTAGTGCAAGCTACAAGGTACAGACCTCAGAAACAATGAAAAACCTGGGAAAAATTACTTTTCCCATTATCCATGTAAGACCAGGAAGTGAAGTTATCATAGCCAGCAAAAAGATTCACTGAGTGCAAAAACAATTTCAGTGATCCAAACGTGCATTCTGCTTACTCTCTGACACCAGTTCTCATTTCCGCTTTTATATAAAGGTAACTTGTTCTCTTCTGGGTTACAGAAAGAATTATTTTGAAACTACTTCCATTTATTCAGTACTCTTTTTCCCACTCAGAGCAAACATCCACTGGTACATTAAACTTGTTATTCAATATTCACATGCGTTACAAATCAGTTGCACGTGAAAACAGAAAAGAACAGATGTGAACTCAAATAATTATCTTCATTTCAAAAAGAAGCTTAAGCTACTGTGTACATAAAGTAAAACTGAGTAAGCTGTAGGTGTGTTCACAAGATCACAGTCAGTCCACACTGATTTCTCAGATATTCTTTTTTTAATTTTAGGAAAATATTAATTGCAACCAAAGAAACTGGCTATTACTTATACGATGTATTTTAAAAAAAACAATTGGCACTTGGATCTGTTCATTATATATGCAGTTTTTTTCACACACATGCAACCCAAGCTTAAGAAATTCCAAGGTTCTTCATATCATCAGAATGAGTTGTACATGAAATGCTGCTGAAATCTTCAGACTTGCAAGAAATGAATTACCGCGTGATAAATCAGCACAAGGAAGACACTCACAAAAACCCACGTTCTCCACAAAAAAATTTAGAGATTGTCAGTATCAGGACAGCATATCAGTTTTCTTTGTAAGTAATTCTACTAGACTATCCCAAACAGCATCATCATCTGCTGAATACATTTCACTTACCAAAACTACCCTGCATGCTGAAATGACACATTCCCCATAAGCTCAAAAACCTGGATTCAACGTAACATTTAAATGAAAACCATAGCAAAAAAGAAAAGTTATTCAAATGTAAGAGCATTTAATTTACAGTCTAGCTTTTGTACTTCTATGTTGCAGACTTGCTACTCTATCATACTTTGCTTACGGTGGCAAAATATCCAGCAAAATTGGGTATTGTACCATACAATTAAACACACTTTGCATAAATTCTTCCACACAAATACTATCAGTGAATGACAAGACGAGAATACAGTACCGGTGCAGCTGAAAACTAGCTGTTTATTCATCAGTTCAACCTCTTTCAACATTTGTAGTAAGCTCATGATCATCATGATGATTGCCTTTGTTTCCGGAGCTCTGGTTTACTAATACAATACAAAATAAGGAGCGAATCTTTGAGAGTGAATGTACCAAACGTAAGAGTCAGTCCTACTTACTTATTCCTTTGGGGATGTCTTCATCATCCACATACCTTCACAGATGAAACCAAAATACAAGTATCAGAAGATGCAAGCAATAGCATTCTTATGCTAAAACACAATACTCCAACACGCTCAGCATTCGCATATGCTAGATGTGGCCAATACAGCTTCAACTCTTAACTCAG